AGATTCTTCACACACACACACACACTTCCTTCCTCTACCTTTCAATCCTTCATTTGTTTCCATTGCCACTACCAACCATCCTTTTCTATGGACAAAACCTTACATCATAGCAATTGGATCTTGAGTTACAAATGAAAGTCACATTATTCATAGACTTGTGAATATTTGCAATTTTTAATAGCTAACATGTAATTATTTTCTTACTGTATACATCTCTCTCTTTTCTTTACATGATTACACAGAAATTTCATTTTAGAAAATTTATAATTTATAATTATGCATTATAAAAGTGGTATAATATTCATTGAGGACTTGTGTTATAATGCCCCCTCTCACTTGGGAAAAAATGTAGATATGATAAATTTTGAAATGGTGAATGTTAATTTTCCAATGGATTCGGATTTGACATGGTTCATAAAATAAAATTCTTGAGAATTTTAGTGGACATGCTTGCCTTTGCATTAAGTAAGTCATGACTAACGAAATTAGTGCATGTTTGTGCATTCTTTTAATTTGGGGTTGGAAAACCAATTAGAATCAACCCATACCCATTTTGCTTGCCATATTTGCTTTGGGCTGAAACGGCGATATAGGCCCAAATAGAATGCAAGGATGTCAAGAAGAAAATGAGACCAAGAAAAAAACAATAGGGGAGGAGACTGTTAAGGCGCAAATTTGGGTAGAAAATTTTCACAAGCGCTGGATACCTGGACTTTTTTTAAAAAAAAAAAAAATTTATCTTAAAGGTTTTAAGTGGTAGTAATATCATTTCATGCTGTTAAAAGACTAATATTAGTTTTAAAATAGTAATATTGATCACTAATATTTTTAATTATAGGGGATATCACTACTACAGTTTTAAACCTTTCAAGTAACTTTGGGCCAGTTTGGTTTCTTGTTTTGAAAACAATTTTTTGTTTTTAAAAATATAAAAATAAAAAACTTGTTTGATAATTTGTTTTTAGTTACTTGTTTTAAAAAACAAAAAACAGTAACATGTTTTTAAAAACTAAAAAAACCAAAACAACTTTCACATGTTTTTTTGTTTTTGTTTTTGTGTTTTTTTTTTAAAAAAAATTTTGAGAAATCTTTTTGTAAAATAAAATAAAATTCTTGAGAATTTTAATGGACATGCTTGCCTTTGCATTAAGTAAGTCATGATTAATGAAATTAGTGCATGTTTGTTCATTCTTTTAATTTGGGGTTGGAAAAGCAATTAGAATCAACCCATACCCATTTTGCTTGCCATATTTGGTTTGGGCTGAAACAGCTATATAGGCCCAAATAGAATGCAAGGATGTCAAGAAGAAAATGAGACCAAGAAAAAAACAATGGGGGAGGAGATTGTTTCATACTGACAAAAAAAACTAATATTTACTGTTAAAATAGTAATATTAATCATTAATATTCTTAATTCTGGGGGACATCACTGCTACCATTTTAAACCTTTCAAGTAACTCTGTGCCTCCCAAAAAACTTCTACTTGCGCAGCATTTCGGAGTGAAAATTTTTGAGCCAAATTTGCATCTTGACCCAAAAAATAATCATAATTCCCCCAAACCCCAACAACAATTAATTCAATTCAATTATGATTCACATTTTAATTTGGTTTATACCTTTCAAAGTTTTATTCCATAGACTTTATTATTTCCTTTTACCTATTTTAATTTTATCCGAGACTACAGTTTTTGCACTGAAACGACTGGTATAAATTCTCACATCCCCCGTCTTCATCGTTCAGGAAATTATTGAAGTACATTTGTCCCAAACTTCCTTATTCCTCTTGGAAATATCAGAAGCGTTTTTCTTAAAAGTATACTACTCTGTCCCTTATTATAAGATGCTTTTAACTAAATTACGTGGTTTTAAAAAAATTAAAATTAGTTAAAAGCAATTAATATGTAGCAAATGTAGTTTTTTTTCCAAACACACCTCTATATATAAATTAGTAGATATGAGAGAGTAATAGTAAGATAAATGAAGAAAGAGAATGTATTAAACGTACTAAACCGGAGGTAAAATATGTAATAATGTATTAAATATTCAGACAAACTTAAAAAAGATCTTATAGAAAAGGACAAACATATTTAAAAATTAAATCTTATAATAAGAAATGGAGGGATTATCATTCAATTATAGGTGTGATTAAATACTCGAAGTAAATTTTTCATGCATCCACAGCTAAATTTCTACAACAGTGTGGTGTCACTGTTGCATTACCATAACCTATTTCAGAGTATGTGAGATCTTCATAATTTCCTTCAAACTTTTTTTTTTTTTGGGAATTAAATAGGCAAACATTGACTGCCTGAATCTTGAGGTTACAAGTGGGATCAGACTCACGACTTCCCATTATAGGGAAGTGCTACCTCCAATACTTAATATAAGAGCCTGTTTGACTTTTATTTTAGTTCGAAATATAAGACCTCAATCCACTTTATCTTTCATATTTATTTATTTATTTTCAAGATAGTCCTTATAACAATAGTAGTTTTAGTTAAGACACTTGATTAGTAAGGATATTTTAGAAAAGACTTTATATATTTATTATAAATAACTAATTAAACTAGTTTTGTTAATCTATTCAAATTAATCAACTAACTTTTATATTAAAGACTAAAGATAATACTAATTAACACCGCTAGACCACAAACTTTTGGCTTCCTTTAAACTGTTTTAAGCACTCTTTTAATCTCTTGGACTTTTTTCTGGTGTTGCAGCTTCATTCTTCTTCAATTCATCTGGAGATGGGTTTCCAGATGTTAACCATAGAGTAGTGTGCAGTGCTGCCAAAAATTAACATCATCATTGTTGTAAAGAGTGCTTTCGTAGTGCCATGATTTCCAATAAGATAATGACGATGATGATGCTTGAGATGGGTAGACGAGAAGATGATGTTTTTATAAATAGATAATCCAAGGCAATGGAAGATCAATTCTTTGATAACTTAAAAGATTGGGATTAAGAACAAATACACAGACTCATGATGTGAAAAATGTTTTTCTAATTTATTAATCAACTGATAACTTACAAGTCAATTTATAACTACATATTTATTAATTACACTAGATTCCAACATCATATTAACTTTTATTTTTTTACTACCCCTCATTAAATATGAAGATATATGGGGAAAAAGTTTTTTTTTGGCTACATAAACAAGTATTTAATACTGATTGAAATTATCAAAAGGTCTTGCAAAGAATATTCCCTCTGGTCCGATAGATAAGTTTTAAACAACTTAATCACGTTTAATGAAATAGTAGTTAAAATTAGTTCAAAATAATAAATAGATTAGAAATGTATTTTTTTTCTTTCAAATTTGTTCTTATTTATCAAGAGAGTAAATGAGAGAAACAATAAATAAAAAAATGATGAAAAAGAATATATGAGGATAATATTAATAAGAGAGTGAGTACTAAATACAGTCAACTAACAATAAAATAAAGGGAAAAAAGTAATAAATGTTCAGACAAATTCAAAAATAAAGATTATATTTTGGACCAAACTCCTCTTCAAAAGTGAAGCTTGTATATAAATTGGAGGAAGTACTAGTAATTTTTTTTAGAAATTCTCCTATAATAAGGGGCAAAGGGAATAATGCTTAAAAGCTTTGGTCAAACGTTACAATAAATGACAAATCAACACAATGTCACAAACGGTCATCATGTTTTAAACAAAGTTGGACTAAAAATAACCACACTAACTCCAATGAAAAATAATAATAATCACACCAAGTATGAGTTATTGGAGCACCATCTCCATATTGATTTAGTGTGGTTTGAAAATTGATGGTTCACTTTGAAATGTTTAATGACATAATAATTAAAGAAACTTTCTTCTGGCCAACTGATCTTCAAATAGCTTCTGAAGTTATGCAAATGAAGTTTTATTATGGTTTCAGTGATGAGGTATTAAACAACATCATTAAGTTGGGGCCCAAAAATCATAAAAATTTTCAATACAAAACGCATCATCCTCCTTACTCTTCTAATCTTATTTATAAAACAGAAAAAACATATTTTTTGATTTCATTTATAGGGCACTAAGAGAAATTTTTATATGGATGTATAATTTTATCCATCATATTATTACGTTGACTTTATTTATATGAGGTATAATATACTCCTTTAATCATATTTATAGGACAGAGAGAAAAAATATTTTTTTAGTCTTATTTATAGAATATTGAGAAAAAATATTATGTGGATGTACAATTTTACCATTCATTTATTATTGTGTTGACTTTGTTTATATAAAGTATAATATATATTAAATATGGATAAAGTTGAAAAGTTGTTGAATTTTAAATGCGAGTTAATGAAGTTTAAAGTTTTTCTTTATCTATGTGAAACATGTTAATAGTAACTTACAAATAGGATCAGAAGAATAAATTAAATAGGGATAAAGTTAAAAATTTGTTAAAAAATTTGCTAAATTTTAAATAAGAGTTAATAAAATTTAAGATTTTTTTAGTCTGTGTAAAACATATTAGAAATGACTTGTAAACAAAATCAGATGAGTGGTTTATAAGGCTTTCTCTCAGACCATGTCGGTGATCATTAAATTTCTAGTGATGTACCAGAAACATGCATCAAAAGCTCGGCTCAAAATGTCTCACGTCTAACAAAGCAATTAAATATCCGCGTCTTCATTACCCAAAATAGATTCGAAACAAAGCTTAAAAGGCCAGAAAGCAAGAAGATGTTTAGGACATAAACCGACTTACAACTCCTAATATCTCAGAATTTCTCACCTACATATGAGTATCAAACAAAACTTCGTAGTCTCATGGTGTGTTAGTTCTCAAATTCGACATGAAAACATACCTTGGAAACTTTTCTCCGCATCCAATCTTTTCATTAGAAATCCCAACAACAAATACCAAAGAAAACTGGAGTCTTGATGCAAAAGTCATTCAAGGCAACAGGTAAGTTACTGTTGCGCATTTAAAATAAAAACTAGTTGTAATAGACCAAAACATGAGCTTACAAGATGCATTAATGAGAGAATACGGGCTTAATCACTAAATATGAGACAGGTTTGAAATTTATCTAAATAGATTTACAAGGATGATCAGAATCACAAATTCTATACAGGACACTTGGAGTGATCATCTTGTGCTAATAAAAAAACACCCAGATCGATCCAGCTTATATTACAAAAGAACATGCTCTTTACATATCAAACCTTCCCCACAATACAATGTTTTCTTTTCTGCTGTTCCATCATCAAACTATCCACAAAAAATATTAGCATCAAGATGATCACCAGACCAAAACATTTGATATATACATAGCTAACATAACTTCTTGCTTCCATCCAAAACATTCACAAAATTCTCTCTAGTTGTGTCAAGTTCTTGAAAGTGGTGGCACTTAGCTCCTTATATGTACACTTCCTCTGAATGAAGTTCTAAGCAAAAGCAGGGATGCTCGAATTCTGGCGATCCCTGTTAAGGCAATCAAATCCTTCTACTCTAACTGCAGCCGGTGTAGGTCCAAATTTCATTCTAGCACGTCCTCCCTTGCGTGATGCTGAAGACGGAGATGATAATCCTGATGGGGATGAATTTCCCAGTACGGAAGCATTCTTCTCTTCTGCAAACCTCGCATCTTGAACCAATGGATTTGCAGCTCGGACTGGAGGGGACCCACAAAAATATGGTGGTGATGCAGCTGCCTGATTTGCATATTCTTCCCCATGACTCTCCTATTGAAATCAAGAGACTAATTAGCCAATTGACTTACACATCAATAGAAGATTCATAAGAGTAAAAACTAGAATTTTGGAAACTAACCACCTCCGTAACGAGATTCACTCACAAGAGTTCAAGATATCTAAAAGAAAAAACATATCAAACTACTACGCAGTTTGTAGTAGTCAGGATTTACCTTCCTAAGAATAATGTCCAGAAGCTCTGCCCCAGCTTTTGAGTCAGACCCGCCAGTTTGTTGGCTGCACACAAAATCGCAACACAGAACAGATCAGCTTCACAAACGCTTCTGAAACACAATAATTTCATCAAAAACCAAAACATTGACCAAGAATGTTACCTCAAATGCCATCTAAAGGGCCGTATAGGCATATCAGATAACATCCCAACTCGGCGTGGCTTAGGGCAAATGACAGGGTCCTGATCACTGCTAGGAACAGATCCCCTCATCACATCACAGGCTGCAAAGGCGTTCTGCTGAAGACCGTAACAATTCATCTTGAGAAACAATTTCGCTCCACAGTAGAACGCCTAGGCACAGGAATAACAAAATATTTTAGGGAAACGTCTGACGATATAACAAAATTTGCCACTTTTGCTCATAGAATGAGATTCAATTAGCCAACAGATCTATTCGTGGAGCCAGATGACATCATTCAATCAACATGAAAATGAGATCTAGAGATCAGACGAAGAAACCCCAAACCATTTTCTTAACCAATTTTCCCGAAGGCAATGATTAAAAAACGTACATGTCAACACCAGATCTGAATTCTAGGCCTGGAAAAAACTTCAAATTTGTTTACAAGTCACGCAAAACCAAAAATAATAATAATAAAACCTAGCCAATTTTTACGCCGCCAAACTAGAAACCTGATCCCGAGAATAAACCCAACTACAGAATTAAGGGGAGGTTATAGCATAGATCTTGGATTAAGTACACTGAAAAACAGAAACAAGGTACAGCGAGAATTTCAGCAGATCTGGCCAAGAGGACCGCTTTTTTCAAACATCTTTACCGCGTTAAGAACATGAAACGCATCAGATCTAAAACGAAGATCTTCAAAACAAGAAGAAAAATCAGAGAGAGAAGGAAACCAGAAGAAGTACAGTAGTTAGAAGATCGATGAAGAAGTACCTCGTTGGAAACTCCACAAAGAAAAACTCAGCAGAGCTGAAAGCCACAAGGAGAACAGATGGAAGGGAGCTGGATCTAATTTATAGGGCTGAAAGAAACGATGTTTTAGGGCAATTTGGCCTCGGCAGATCACTGTACGACGTCGTTCTCAAGTTCGATATTCTTGACGCCACACGTGGCCCATTGTTTTTAGGGGCCAAGGAAGAATAATTTAGATCCTACGTTATACCTATAGAAATCATACAGTAACAAAAAGGGTGGTAAGCTATAGATTTTTGTGTAAGCATTTCTAGAAATAATTCATAATATTTCAGAATTATTTCAAATAATATGAGATTTCATATTGGAATTAGTAATTGATGATTATGGAAATAAGAATCGCAATTAATTAAGAAAATCATCTTACTGTAGAATACGTTGACCAAATTGTAATGATGAACGCTTAATTGACTATTGACTATTACAAGAAAGAAAATTGTTCATGAAAATCATTCAAAAACATTGCTAAAAAGATATGGTTATTGTAATAAAAAAAGATACTTCTCCAGTTTTTAATGTAAAATTTAATTAAAGAGTTATTGTTAATCCTACATGTAAGACTTATTATATATATTTATTATTATTTTTTTTCAAATTAACCTATTGATATTTCTTCAATAATAATCAAATAGGAGAGGAAGGAAGAGAATTAAGAAAAATGTTTGAAATGTTTTAAAAAAAAGCATAATATATTAACTAATTTAACTAATATTCTTAATCTATTTAAATTAATTAATTTGATCTTATATTAAAAACTAGAAGAGTACTTAAAGTACTTGAGTAGCCATTACTTAGCTAGTTCAAAGCCAACTAACTAAGCCAATTTGTTATAACTAGTAATTTGGTGCTAAATGAACTACCGGTCCATTTCAAATGGTTTATAAATTACTTTTCAATCGTAATTTATAAAATATGAAATAAATATATTAAAAAGATTTTATCTCAACTTACACACATATACTTATAAATGGTTTTGAACGTGATACCAAACAGCATCTATGTAAACCCTAATATTGTAATAATTCTCGATGAGTTGTGTAAAATCTTATATGTAACGGTCTAAGTTATCCATAAATTATATTCTTGCATGTTATCTTAGATATTTATGGAGATCGTTAGAGAATTGATTCCTCCCTTATCTTAAGGAAGAGTTCCAAAGTGGTGAGTATATAAGCAACAAAAGTTGGATTTTGTTGTTAAACTAATTTAGGGTTAACACCCCTTTGGCCGCCTCCTTCATTTGTAATCGATAGCGAATTAGCTGTTATAATGTGGAGATGCAAGGTGGGTTTTTCAGCTCTCTTTTTAGTTTTAGTTACCATTTTTATCTTGTAGGTTTTTTGCCCCAAGGAGCTTTGCTTTGTTTTTATTTGGGTCATGTTTTTAGTGTTTTGTAAATTGCAAACACCTTTTCTTTTAACAATGCTATGGTTTGTTGAGCCAAAGACATATAAAACATTTTCCAAACCATATAATATGGGGAGATGAATATCTAATTTTAAATTTCTAATTACATTTTATTTTATGTCCAGGAAAAAATACTTTTTATCCCTATGTGAAGATGTGTCGCGGAAAAATTAATTTATTTTTCAAAACCAATGCCAAAAACAGTCCAAATTTTCACAAAATTAGTCAAAATAATGATCAATCAAGAAGTAGCCAGACCAACTTAGGTTTTGAAAAAGTTAAAAAAAAAAATCAGTTGAAGTATTGCTTCAAATATTTAGGTTTCTCAATTGAAACTCCATCAATTAAGCACTAATTATAAGATATTAATTATTAGATTATGATTTAATAGTGTTAAGGGAAAGTTATAATTTCTTAAAGAGTTAACATTATCTTTAGTCCCTAAAATTTAATCTTATTTTGGTTTTGATCTTTAAATTTTGAATTTATTTTAGTTTACCTAAAGATTTTTGTTATCAAATAATATTTTTGATCCCTGAAACCTCTTGAGAACTAAAACAAGGTTTCAATGACTAAAACCATGGGTTTTAAATTTTAAAAATTAAAATTAAAATTAAAATGAAGTCAAATTTTAAATAATAAAAATAATATTAATCCTTTTTTAAAGGAAATAATAAGTAAAGATATTTATTTTAACACATTTAAATCACTAATAGTTAATTATCCCTTAATCGAGACTCAATTAGAGGGCTCGATTTTTTTTTTTTAGGCCAAATAAGAGAGCTCAGTCAAGGGGATCCGAACCCATTGATTCAAATTGGTTTTAACTTTTCTAATTTTTTAAATAACTTTTTTTTTAGTTATTCATACAAAATAACATATCTTTTTCGGGATAACACATAACTCCTTTTCTTCATATAGTTTCATATTAGTAATAATTAGTTATATAGCATTTTAATGTATGAAATTAAAAATATATTAATATTATTCTCATAGGTTTAATAAAGAAAATCGGTGAATCTTAAATCAGTATGTAAGTATGTTGACTAATTCAATTATCACTGGAATTTTAGAAAGAAAAACTTGTTCTACCATATTTAATACATATGACATAAATGTTGGCGTAAGAATCCCCTCAAATGATATTCCTCTCTTAATTTAGATTAATTTAAAGGCAACTTTTGTAGTTTTATCCCAATTTCAGCTTGCAAAATACATTTTAATTTATGAAAATTTCAGTTTTCGAAACACACTAGTATAAGCTAGTATGAAATTTCATATCCAAAAAGCATATGACTCTATTGGTTTTTTGGTATTGGGTTAAGGTGCACTTAACATCCTAAAAGTACATTTTTAGTTGCATTCGGTGTAATTTTACCGTTAAAGTAATTGAATTGGTGCAATCTATAACTACTAGTTAATAATTTTAAGAATAAAATGGCACTACAAATAACTTTAAGGCATTAAATATACTTGAGAAATTATTTTAGAGTGTTAGGTGCAACTTAACCATTTGATATTCCAAATGTCTTTAAATATATAGTAGCACACAAACTAAGAAGCTTGTCTTTGTTTGAATTTTTTTTTTGTTCTTTTCAAGTCTACCCATTATTAAATTGGTGTATTTTTGGGAAAAAACCATTTATTATGGAATGGGAGGAAAATTAATTAAATAGAAAATATCATATAATTCTAAATTCTACATGATAAAAATGTACATAATCTTAGAAAAAAAAATATCAACCATGCTTAGGGACAAAAGAAAGTAAAATAAATATTTGATTCGTAGATTCCCCTAGAGGAAAAAAAAATCTTTCAAAAGCTCGATTGGGGTCTAAATTTTAGAAAACTGAATTAAGAAAATGTAATTATTTTTCCCAAAAAAAAGACAAAACTTAATTTTTAAAAATAATTAAAAATAATACTAAAATATTGACGAAAAGAAGTTGATGACATGGACAATGTAACAGCTGTAGAGATTCTTTGGTCGGATATTTAAATTTTTAAAATAACAAATTGTCAAAGTTACTATAAAGCATAAGCATGAGAATATTTTATTTTATTGAAAATCAATTATTATAATTGCCGGTGGCGAATTTGTCCATTTGTCCAAAAGAGAAAACAGGAGGCAGCAACAAAAGAGAAATATAGACGACAATCTGAGCTGTAAGATCACAAACTAACATAATATAATATAATAAATAATAATTAAAGGATCTAACTGAAGAAAAAGTTGAGACAGGAAAAGGAAAATGGAGCAAGCAAGATTCAAATTCAGTTATGAGTCACCGAGCTGGCTTCCACCAATCTCACAAATCTCTTTGACTTTCTTGTCAAAGCAAAGGGCTAATTTTCCGGGAATATTAGTTGCATCGGGAAATTCTCCCTTGATTTATGAATATGATTGCTGAGGATCCTTTGGGGCTTAGAGCCTTGGACTGCCTTTTAACTTTAAATTAAAATATGGGGTCAAGCATGTCTCTCCGCGCCTTCCATTCATTCATTAATGTTTTTAAAGAGACTTAATTTGACAGTTTCTATAATTATACCTGATTTTTAAAAGGGAAAATGACATTGAGGTCCCATGCAACACAAAATACTACAAAAAGGTCCCAGAAAATTTGGTAATGATTTTGAAGTCCAAAAGGACTTGAGTGCAATTTGCTGAATTGTAAAAAGACGCCTTGCCCTTGGTGAGATGCATCTAAACTAACTCAAAGCTGCCCTGTTTTTCAGTCTGAAAATCAGCACCTATACGCAGGAAACAAGAGAGAAAAAGCCCAAACTTTATTCTGCTTCTTCCCCCACTCCCATCTGAAAATCTCATCTACTCTATTAATGTTAATCATTGGCAAAAATTGCTTGTGTTTTTGGTTTGGTGTTTGTTTGGTCATTCAAGTTGGGGTTTTATTATAGGTGGGTAGGGTGATTATGGGTGTTCTGTTTCTGGGTATAATGTGGGTGGATTGAAGGTAGGCTTGCTCTGTCTGGGCATGGTTCAGGGGGAATTGATGAGAAAAATAAAGGTTGGTGTGATTAGAAACCCTTACTGCGAAATAGGAAAATATGTTGTCAATAGGGCTGCGACAATTGTCAATATAGCTCCTTGACTTGTCAATAATGACAGCATTGTACAGATTTACATTAACTGATTTTTTAAATTTTTTACACAAAGGCCATAACCTTCTGTACCCTTGACTCATTGGTAGAGGTCACAAAAAAGGGAAGAAGATACAACAAAGAAGAGTGAGTAGTTACATGAAGCAAAAGAAAACAAAAAAGCCACTTTGATCCTAGACAAATGATGGCAAAAGAATTTTTTTGTAAATAAAAGTGACATAAATTTTTTTTGTAGATGTCACAACACACACAAATAATTAGTTTAATACTGGATACATGCAACTATATGTTTTTTTTAATGGGGTTATAAAATCGATGTAATTACATGTAAATGAAGTTATAAATGAAAGTTAGCTGTGTATTACATTCTGATGCATAGTTAGTTGTCATTATCCGCACCCTTCATTGTCAATATATGCTTCATCACTTGTCACTCACTGCACCATCAGTTGTCAATTAATGTGTTGATATAAATTTAAAATAAAAATATGATT